TTGTACGGTTGAGAGATATGTATGTTATATTAAAGTCACTGAGAGCATGAGGGATAGAAGAGAAAGTCAAATAATGGAGTCAGACACATTTCATGGTAGCAATGCTTACCTCAGTCTTGCTTGGTGGTCCATGTGGAGAGAGGAGGAAGGGAAGGAGGACAAGGGGAAAAGGAACAGGGGAGTGAGGACGGGAGAGTGGGAGCTGACAACAAGAGGCCTTCTCTATTGCTGACCCAGGACTATATACCTTTGGGGGTGTGCAAGCCCACTAATTACAGCTAAAGACATACGTCATAGGAAGGGGTTGCACTATAGGTTATACAGCAATGAGGGGCTGGTCTAGGGACATGGTCTAGGAAGAGGAGGGCTTGGGGGTATACATGTGACAAGATGGGCAGATCCTAGATTTAGGATGGCAGCTTAACTTTGACCTGTTCTCTGGATCTCCATAGGAACTATTATCAGTAGGGTGTGAACTCCACCTACAGGAACCAAATCGATGACTGCAGGCCTGTCCATTGTCCTTAACAGCAGGCAGCGGGGCCCACTGCAGTCTGGTGACTGACTGTCTTCAGGGAGGATGTCTGTAAGCATCTGACCTCCCCCCACAAGGTTCAAGTGAAACTGCTTTAACTAAAAAATTCACTATGGTCAGAGGGAGCCTTCCCAGGCTACGCCACTGGATGCACTAACTCAGAGCAAGTTGCTCGATGCTCACCTAGCAGGAAAAATGCATACCATGAAAGCTCCACTCTGCCCAGTGCAATTCTAGGGTTCCTTTGGTACCCCATGTATGCCAATAAAATGAATTTTAAAAAAATCATAGAGTAGCTAGGGCAAATGAAGGAAATGACATAAAAGAATGAAACCGAAAATTTCAAAGGCAGCTTTAGAAGAAAAAGAAAATGTTATAATGAAATATGCAAAGACCTAGAGTTAGAATATTCAAAAGAAAGTACACACTTAACATACCTGAAACTGAAAGGACTCAAGGGAAAGTCCAAGCCTTGAGTTGCAATACTGCAGTATTCTATGGGCAAAATATTGAGTAATCCAGGTAGCTTTAAAAGAAGATGTAAAGAATATAGAGTCATTGTACCAGAAAGAACTATTTGACGTTCCACCATTTGGGAGGTAGTATATGATGAAGAACGAATAGTACTAAAGGAATAAACCCAAGCTGCACTGAGAGCATTAGCTAACATTAAGGCTTCGGGAATTGAGAGACTATCGATTGAAATGTTACAACAAGCTGATGAAGCACTGGAAGCACTTACTCATCTATGCCAAGAAAGTATGAAGATAGCTACCTGACCAACTGACTGGGGGAGCTTCATATTTGTACCTGTTTCAAAGAAAGGTAACCCACAGAATATTCAAATTATAGAAAAAAATCATTGATAGCATATGCAGGTAACATTTTGCTGAAGACCATTCAACAGTAGTTTTAGCAGTACATTGACAGGGAGCAGCCAGAGGTTCAGGTTGAATTCAGAAGAGTATGTGGAACAAGGGATGTCATTGCTGACATCGGCTGGATCTTGACTGAAAGCAGAGACTACCAGAACTATGTTTACTTGTGTTTTCCTGACCAAGCAAAGGCTTTTGAGGATCATAACAAACTGTATTGTGGATCATATGAACTATGGACAGCCATGAGAAGAACAGGGATTCCAGAACACGTTATTGTGCTGATGGGTCAGGAGGCAGTTGTGTGAACAAAACAAGGTGTTGTTAGTCCGGTTGCACTAGAGAAACAAATACATTGACACTCAAATGTGTGAGAACTTTATATCAAACAGTAAGTGTATAATAAGAAAACACCCCAGCCAGCCCAGATCAAGTTCATAAGTCTGATATTAGACCATATGCCTGATACCAGTCTATAAATTCCTCTTCAGACTCACGCAACACATGCAATGATGCTGAATACAGGAAGATTACAGACCAGTGGGTGGAAAGTCTTGTGGATCCAGTGGCATTGTAAGCATCTCAGTGTTGGCATGCGTTTCCATGTGGCACCTCCAGCTCCAGGGCTATGGCTGCCACCAGCATAGTTCCATGTGCCTTGTCAACAGGAATGTGAAGCAGAGAGTGTGTATTCCACCTCCCGGGGGGAAGACAGGAGCTCCCAGAATCCACAGGAGAAGGCCATGCCCACGTAGAGGCATGATTGGCTAGGACTGGATTAACAGGTTAGACTCCACCCTTTGCTCAAGTTGACAGATTAAGTAACTGCCATACAAGAGAATACTGTATGGTTTAAAATCAAGACAGGTATGTGTCAGGGTCATATCCTCTCATCATACTTGATCAATGTGTATGCTAAGCAAATAATCAGAGAAGCCGGACAAGATGAAGAGAACTTGGCATCAGGATTGGAGGAAGGCTTATTAATAACGCTTGATATGAAAATGCTACAAACTTGCTTATTAAAAGTGAGGAAGACTTGAAGCACTTGCTGATGAAGATCAAGGATTGCAGTCAATAGGGATAACAATTCAATGTAAGGAAAACCAGAATCCTCACAACTAGACCACTAGGTAACATCATGATAAATGGAGAAAAGATTGAAGTTGTCAAGGATTTTGTCTGGCTTGGACCCACAAACCGTGCTCATGGAAGCAGCAGGCAAGAAATCAAATGGCACATTGCACTGGGTCAATCTTCCACACAAGACCTCTCGAGAGTGTTGAAAAGCTAGATGCATTTGAATTATGGTGCTGTGAAGGATGTTCAAAGTACCTTGGATTACCAAGAGAAAAACAATTCTGGCTTGGAAGAAGTACAGTCGGAATGTCCTTTAGAAGAGAAGATGGCGAGACTTTGCCTCCATTCTACTTCAGGAGAGACCAGGCCCTGGAGAAGGACCTCATGCTCGGTGAAGTCGAGGGCCAGAGAACGAGACGATGGCCCTGAACAAGATGGATCGGCAGTGGCTGCCACAGGGGCCTCTGACCTAAGAACAATTATGCGGATGGTGTAGGACTGGGTGGGCTTTCATTCTATTGCCCGTAGACTCGCTATAAGGAGGAGACCACCCCTGGCACTTAATAACAGCAGCCTCTTAAACTGTGAGTGAATAATTGGTTTGTGAAAGCCATCCACTTATGTTTTTTCTTTTACAACTGCACTAGATAACTAAGATAGGGATTAAGTCAATATTAGAATTCACCTCTAGTCCTGTGTACATGCTGTGGTGCATTTGACCGCTGAGGGAAGGGGATAGCGGTTGTGACTGAAACCCACCACGGGCTCCACGGGAGAAAGATGAGGAGGCAGTCTGCTTCTGCAAACATTGTCAGCCTTGGGACTCAGCAGAGGGAGTCAATTTTATTCTGTCCTTTAGGGTCCCTATGAGACCGCATCCACTTCATAGCAGTAGGATTAGTTTTAGTTTGCCCTTCAGTATTTAGATGCCTGGAAAGGTTGGAGTGGACAAACTGTGACCTTTAGCTATTCAAAAGAGCAAGGCAGTCAGTCTTTGACATGTAGGTGTGTTGTGCCAACATGGCCAGTGAACACATGTGAGGTTAGTTGATGGGTGGAGAGAGAAATGGCTCGGTGAGCCTTGCCTTTCTTGTATCTTGCTCTTTGATCATCAGACGAGTGTGCGGCTGCCTTGCTTGTTCTGTGCCTCCATTTGCAAGCTACACTACCTATGGGACACCTACCCGTGGACTGTGTCGCTGTAACTTGAGGTTCCTTCAAGACCTGCTTTGCCATGCTACTGAAAGGTACATCTCTTGAGCTGAGAACTGTCGGACCTTGTCATCTGGCTGACTGTTGGTGACCTGCTTGCTGTTTGCTGCCTGTGGCCGGAGAGCCTGAACTGCTCCACGGAGGACTACCCTGCGGCCAAAACTTGAAGGACTGTGTCGGTGTAGTAGTTCTCTCACGGAAGTGAGTTGCACTGAGCCTTTTGTAGTGCTTTATAGATTAACTTTATTTCTTTTGTATCTATATAAATAGATACAAAAGTATTAGTGTCCTGGCTTTGTTTCTCTAGAGAACCCTGCCTAACACACAGTCAATGCCAAGGGATCCTTTACACACATTGCTGATAGGGCAGATAAAACTTCCAGTTGGGCAGCTAGTGATTTCCTGGAATAGTCATGCTGATTTCGAGGGCTGCTAACTTCAAGGCCAGCAGTTCAAAACCACCAGCTGTTCCAAAGGAGAAGACGGGGCTTTTTCCCGTTGAGAGTTACAGTCTCGGAAGCCCACAGGACAGCTCTACTTTGTCCTATAGGCTCGCTATGAGTCGGCAGTGGACTTGATGGCAGTGAGTGTGGCTTGGTTTGGGGCACGGCAAGGTGGGCTCCTGAAACTCTGTGGGTCTGTTTTACCTGTAAAAGCGGGGTGCATCCCAGAGGTGAGCCTCTGGAAGGCACCGCCAGTCGCGACACAGCAGTGTCTAGAAGCGCAGGTGGCGCAGCCCTGGCGTATTTGGCTCTGGCCAGGAAGGCAGAGGAACCCGGAAGGTGGCATTTGTTCCCAAAGAGCGTGGAAAGGGGGCGCACGACTAGGCGAGCGGGGTGCCAGGGCCGCAAGCAGGCTTCCGGGCCTGGGAGGTGCGCAGGGCTCCGCCTGGGACGGATCCGGACCGGCGACGCCC